GTTAGAAAATGCCATATACCAAAAATTTAAATGAAACTTAATTACTTTTTTCTGCTTAATCTCCCACCACTAAAAATAGAAAAGAAATTTTTCAGAGGAGAGGAGATAATATGACAGGGTTGGGAACAGTAATAGTAAGATTAGTAGCATTTTGTTATGATAAACATTGTATTTAAAATTGGTAAAAGTCCGTTCATTAACTGCCAAGAGAGAGTAAGGAATAGATTTTTTTAAAAATGCACATTTTTAGAGACGTTTTCAGAAGCAAAAAATTAATTTACATAAAAAGCTATAGAAAAAGTAATTGAAAATTTCATTAAGATATCTTTTATTCCACTTACATTATTAGTATAATACATGTTCTTAACAATTATGCTTGGATTGTTCCTGAAAATATCATAAGACATTAAACAAAGCTATCCATCATCTCAAGTTATTTCCATTAACTATTTTTACAGCATATGCATGTTGTTGTTGCTGTTGTGTGCTATTGAGTCAGAACTGACCCATAGCTGACCAGCCAGCAAGTTTTCAGAGATAGTTAATTTCATGAGAGGAAATTGTCCTCCTGCAGAGCAGCTGGTGGATTTGAACCATGTGCCTTTGGGATTACAGTGTAGTTTCTTACCACTAGGCCACCAGAACCCTCTATATGTTGTTGCTTGGTGCCGTCAAGTTGAGCAGAAACAATGATTTTGTAAATTATTATTTAGCTTTGGAGGGACTAGAGAACCTTATGCTGAGTGAACTGACTCAGTCCTTGAGGACAAATATTGTATAAAACCATTATTGTAGAATGAACATGAGGATCCAAATGGGGTAGGAGGGTGGAAGCAGAGGTTTGAGGATGTGCGGGGGAGGGGTGGGGATGGATTAATTATGGGGTTGTACAATCTGATGGGAGTGGGTGAGGGAAATTTGAAGAATCTGGTCTGAAAAATAATGTATTAGAATTCTGTAAATAAACTAGCATTTGTTGTTGTTGTTGTTAAGTGCCGCCGAGTCGCAGGCAACTCATAGCGACCCTATGAAGGAGAGTCCTTGACGTTTGGGTGCCTTTCATCCTCTCTCCAGGTTCATAGGGTTTCTGGAGGCAAGCTATTACGGAATTAGATGCCACTCCTACTTCCACGCTTGTTTTAATTGGGGAGCTCCACCCCACTCTCTCCTCATTGGGTAGCCAACCATTAACGCATTTGACACACCAGTGTCACAGTGTTCAGCCTCACAGCAACCACAACTGACCGCTGTACGGCAACTTGTACACCAGGGCTATACGACCTAGAGGAATGTCTGAACAAAAACAATAAAAGCCAGGACCGAAGGCCGCGGATTAGAAGTCACCCACCTTTGGCTTGGTAACATCACTTTCTGTCCACTGGGCCAACTGATCTGTCTTTCTATCTTGATGTTATCAGTTGTTAAGTGCTGTCGAGTCGCAGGCGACTCATAGCGACCCTATGAAGGAGAGTCCTTGACGCTTGGGTGCCTTTCATCTGGCAAATGCTGGCAAACTCCTTGCCCCAGACCTCCAGTTCATCTGGCAAGTCCACTCTGTCAACCCCCTTGTGAGCCCCAAAAACCTCCACAAGTGCCTGGAGCCCTCAAAACTACTGTGCCTCAAGAAGCCAGAGTCTGTTTCAGCATCTAGATAGCAATAATACCTAGTTCTTCTGAGGGGTTGACTGATTATATTTGGGTAACTGCGCTATGACCTCCAGATCTGACTCTTCTGATGATTAAAGCATCTGCAGAAACACTGGCACTCCTCAGGTGTGTTTCCTGGGTCCTTTGAGGCTCTGGGAGCCCCAGGGGTGGGGCAGGGAACTTAGCTGAGAGATGTGTTTGTTTGTGTGGGTTTTTTTTTTTTTTTAATTTTGTGTGCGTGTACCGTCAAATCAGATCTGACTGGTACAGGAGGATATTGCGCCTCCTTCTCCGGCAGAGCGTCTGGTGGATTCGAACTGGAGAGATGTGTTTTGAGGACACAAACTGCCTGATGGTGGAATCTTGGAGGGGAAAGGGCTCCCTCCCTCAGTGGACAGTTCTGGTACCAGCCCAGTCTTTCCCACTGGCCTTCCTCTGCTGGCTCCGTGCCAGTTTTCTGAATGTCGTAGTGCATCAGAGAAGACACACACACACACACACACACACACACACACACACACACACCCCAGCGAGTCTTCATTCATTCACTCACCTCCTCACTCATTCATTCTCCCAGCAAACACTTGCAGAGGACTCCTCCAGGCAGGTATTCAGAAAATGCCAGCTGCCCAGGTGCCTGCAGAGGGCTGCTGCCCCCTGGGGACATCATATCCAGCTGTGGAATTAGCGGGAGGGCAATCATCTGGGTGACTGAACCCTGATGACTCATATGTAGAGAGCTTTGGGGTAAGTGTGCTTCAAGGAAGCCTGCCAGGAGGAGGCAGCATTTGAGCTTTGCTGTCTTAGAGGATGAGTGAGAAGTGGCCAAGGGGAGACAAAAGGGTGGGAGTGGAGGCTATATAGATGCATATGAGGTTGCACAGCAGGCTTCTCACAGTGGGGACAGGAATCCCCAAGAGACCGGAGCCCAATCATAGGGTCCCTGAGGTCCTAGCTGCTGTTGTGGTAACACTAGGACAAGATACATCTTGTCAATCTCTGCCTCTCTACCCCCATGCCTCACCTCAGTGTGCCGAGTAATGAAAAAAAGTTAGACATCCACTGTGACACTTCCTATTGGACCAGTTGTAAGAATCTTTGTTTTCTTGATATTGAGATGCAAGCCACACCGAAGGCTGCATTCCTTGATCTTCTGCAACAAGTGCTTCAAGTGCTGATCTGTTTCTCTATGTTGATGTTATTGTTGTTAAGTGCTGTCGAGTTGCAGGCGACTCATAGCAACCCTATGAAGGAGAGGTTGTGTCATCTGCATAATGCATGTTACTGAAAAGTCTTCCTCCAATCCTGATGCCAAATTCCTCTTCATAGAGTCAAGCTTCTTAGATAATTTGCTCAGCATATAGATTAAGCAGGTATGGAGAGAAAACAATCTTGATGCCACTCCCTTCCCAATTCCAAACCATGCAGTGCTCCCCTGCTGTGTTCACACAACAACCTCCTAATCCAGGTATAGGTTCCGAATGAGCACAATCAAGTGCTTTGGGATTTCCATTCTTCTCAATGTCAGCCACAACTTGTCATGATCCACACAGTCAAATGTCTTTGCATAGTCAATAAAGTACAAATAGACATTCTTCTGGTATTCCTTACTTTCGGCCAAGATCCATCTGATAGCAGCAGTGACATCCCCGGTGTCACAGCCTCTTCTAAATTCTGCTTAAACTTTAAAAGAAAACAAGTCAAACTGAAAGAGCTGAACAGATGATTTCAAAGGGCAGCTCGGGAGGAGGATAAAGCAGAGTATTATAATGGAATGTACAGAAAGCTGGAATTGGAAAATAAAAAAGGAAGAACTCACTCTGCATTTCTCAAGCTGAAATTACTAAAAAACAAATTTAAGCCTCATGTCACAATATTGAAAGATCCAGAAAGCATCAAAAGAAGATGGAGGGAATACACAGAGCCACTGTACCAGAAAGAATTGATTGACACTGAAAAATTCCAGGAAGTACCGTAAGAACAGGAACAGGTAATGAAGGAGGAAGTGGAAGCTGCACTGAAGGCACTGGCAAAAAATAAGGCCCCAGGAATCTATGGGATACCAATTGACTTGTTTCAATTAATGGATGCAGCCTTGGATACACTCACCATTCTATGCCAGGAAATTTGGAGGATGATTGGCCAACAGATTGGAAGAGGTCCATAATCCCGTTTCCAAGAAAGGTGATCTAACTGAATATGGAAATTATTGAACAATATCATTGATATCATATGCAAGCAAAATACTGCTAAAGATCATTCAAAAGTGGCTGTTAATAGTAGCAGGATAAAACAGAATTAACATTTTAAAGTACTTCTTTTTTTTCCATTGAATTTTATTAATTTTAATGAACATTTACAGAGATTTTGGGTTTTCATTCATTCATTGTTGCCCTATTTTCTCTACCCTCCTCCCCAGTTCGTTCTTCTTTTTTTTCCCCCCTTGAAAGTCTGTTTTAATTGTCCAATTGCCACAGTGCTTGTCAAAGCCAGTTCTGATTAATCTCCTTTGTCAGTGTGTCCTTTGCCATGCCCTATCACTCCTCCCTGAGAGAGACTTCACCCTGATTCATAAGGAAAAGGGGACGGCGTATTCTCTTAGTTACTTCCTGCTGAAAAGGGACGCTGTAGGTTTCAGGGTGAAGATCTTCTCTCACTACTCTAAAGGGCCCCTTTGGCAATAGGAAACACATAGACTATTATGGAGATTGATTTTGGAATTTAGATGCACTGTTATCAATTGTGCTTAGCCATGCATGTTCATATCTTTGAAGATGTATCATGGAAGTGTTGCAGCCTAGAAGACACAAATTTAACTAACAAGTTAAAAGTACATGAGTCAAAAATTAAAAAGCAATAATATTCCAGGTAGAGACTCTAATAGTGGCACAAATCAAGTTACAGAGGGAAGGTAGTTCTTACAATAAAAGGCCTATTGATTAGCACTTTGTCTATTATAGTATAAAGGTTAGGAACCACAAGATGTAGAGGCTCAACTATGTCATTTATTGTTCTTAAGTCCTGGAGCAAATTCCATCTACCACTGGGTTGTTTTATAACTTAAAGTACTTGTTAATGTAAGCTCAATTTACTTAACCTATGACTTGCATTTGTTGTCTCCGTGAGAATTTACTTTTTCTTTCTCTGTTCCTTATCCTCGCAGTTTTGAAGTTTGTCATCTAATTATTCCCTAATAGTAAACATAAAAACCACATAGGAAATAAAGAAATTGAAATAGAAGTAACATAAATCTATAATAAATTATAAGCAAAAGCTATGTGGAGGACAGCAGAGATGACAAATGGGTTACTGTGTAAGTTTCAGAATATGACAGATGAAAGTTGGAAAGTTGGTTAATTTTCCCCTCCTTCAGCTTTGTCTCTTTGGGTATCTGATGTTCACAATGTCAAGTTGTGTCTCAGTACCAACAGCATTCTTTGTGTGCTATTTTTGAATGACTTCTTCTTGCTTAATGTATCATGTTCAGCAATGACATCATCAAAAGCTGTCTTTATGAAAGAGTAGGCTTTCTCTGGGAAATAAGAATCTCATAATACAACACCAAGAAGTTAAGGGTCAGACCTAATCTGATAGGATGTGCTGGTTGCATTTCCCTTTTGCTGATTTCAGAAGCTTCTTGGTATGTTTGTTGTGACTGTTCCACAATCCCTTTCTTGTCATCACCCACAGCAGCCTCAGCCCAATAGCAGTAGTAGTTGCCTTTTATTTTCAAGTAGAAGACTTTGCTCTCTCTGCCTGTGAAGTATTGAGGATCAAGAATTTTCCCAGAAGAGACAGTAGTACATCATTGCAGATATCTCTTTGCTCTGACTCAGTTTCTTCTCTCTATTCTTGAGCCATTTTCTGTGTTGGTTTTTCTCCCCTCTCAACATCTTCCCTCTTTTGCTCAATACTTGAGATGACCCTCCAAGATTACCTATGGGCTCCTACAACATTTGTATATACAACTGAGAAGATTCTTCTCTTCTTTGGATAATTCTATTCCTTGCTCAGTTTCAGACTTCCTGCAGGCTGCCATACCATCATATCATGCAGCCTGTTCGGCCAGCTTGGTGTTTTGCAAGAGCTCACTTTTATATAAGATTGGGTGATCTGTGTCCAGAGTTCCTAATCTTTTTTATATCTAACATCCTTCCCCCCTCCTTGTACTTTAGACTGAATGTTTTCTGTTGTTAATTTCTCTTTCAATTAACTTCTCTTTTTTTGCTGCTAAAGTTACTTGTTGCATTCTTAATTTTAGTTCTTAGATTTTTCAGTTTTAGATATCCATTCATCTTTTTTATGGATTCTAATTCTCTGAAGAATTTGTTTTCTGCATGTCTTTCATGAACTAATGAGTCAGTTATTTGAAAGTTCCTGTTGATAATTCCACACTCAAGATTTTTTTTGTGTGTGTGAGGTTGCTTCTGTTGTATTGTTTTAACTCTTCATTTCTGGTCATTTGGTTAATTCTATTGCCTAGCCCAGTAATTTTTTATTGAATGCTGGGAGTTAAATATGACAGCAGGGAGCTCTGGTGGCTTAGTGGTAAGGGATTGTGCTACAAATGCAAAGGTAGGATGGATTCTGCTGGTTTGAATCCACCAGCTGCTCCATGGGAAGGGGATGGGTGGTCTCCTCGTGTGCGATTAATTGCCTTTGAAAACCTGCTGGAGGGTCAGCTATGGGTCGGTTCTGACTCCATGGTACACAGCAACAACAACAACAACCAGAAACTATCTTGTCTGGAAGTAGATGTCTCTTGTTGTAGGATGGCTTTAAATAAATGAATTTTGATAGAAAACAAAACAAATCTGGTTTAACAATATGTTCCATATTAATTTTGAACTTTTCCTGTATCAAACATGGTGTCAGACATTTTTCTAAGAAGCCTTGGTAATTAATCTTCCGAGATTCACAGCTGGGCATTAAGGATTTTTCTTGTTGTTGGTTTTCAGAATAAAACTAGGAAATAAATACATAGATACACATTTCTTTCTCATAATAGACTATCTCATGAGTTAATGAGAAAGGTTGTATCCTTTTTCCATACTTATTCAATCTTTATGCTGAACAAGTAATTTAAGAAGCTGAATTCTCTGAAGAAGAATGTGACATCAGGATTAGAGGAAGACTCATCAACAACCTTAGTTATACAGATGACACCAACTTCCTTTCTGATTTGTTGTTTGCTACGTTTTGTCAAGTCACCTGGAACTCATAGAGACCCTGTGTACAACGGCTCTGAAACCACAGGATAAGTCCTGTGCCAACCTTATTGTCTCTGACACATCTACCCACATTAACCCAATCACTGAATCAATCCATCTCATTGAGGGTCTTCCTCTCTTGGACTGTCCTTCCACCCTCCCAAGCATGACATCCCTTTCCAAGGCCTGGCCAAAGTATGTCAGACAAGGCTTCTGAATCCTTACCTCCAAGAAGCAGCCTCATTTCACCTCTCTCGGATGAATCTGTATGTTCTCCTAGCAGTTCATGGTATATTCAATACTCTTCTCCAGCACCATAGCTCAAAGGCATCAATTTTCTTTGTATCATTCCTAGTCATTGTTCAGCTTTCTGACACATAGCAAGTAATTGTGAAGACTGTGGCCTAGATCAGGTGCACCTTAATTTCCAGACTAACATTGTTGTTCTTCAGAACTCTGGAGAGATCTCAGTGAACTTTCCCAATGCAATTTGTCTTTTGATTTCCTGGCTGCTAGTACCTAGAGTGTTGATTATGGAGCCAAGCAAATAGAAACTGTTAACAATCATCGCCTATGATGCTGCCAGTCGGCCCGGTGGTGAATCTTTATATTCTTGAGGTTGAGCTTCAATATAAATTTAAAGTTGCAGTCCTTGACCTTCTGCAACAAGCACTTCAGGTCTTCAGTTTCAGCAAACAGGGTTGTGTCATTTGCATACCACAGATTTTTGATCAGTGTTCCTTCAATCATGATGCCCCTTTCCTCCTCATAGGGCCCACCTCCCAGATAACCTGTTTTGCATATAGATTGAAAAGGTATGGAGACAGAAAAAATCCATGGCAGACACCCTTCCCAGTTTTGAACCATGCAGTGTTTCCTTGCTCTGTTCTGATGACTGCCTCTGGATTTAAGTATCAGTTTCACATAAGCACAATCAATGTTCTGGGATTCCCATTCTTCTCAGAGTCAGCCACAGTTTGTTGTGATCCACATAGTCAAAAGCTTTTGCATAGTTAATGAAACACAAATAGACATTCTTCTGGTACTCTCTGCTTTCTGCCAAGATCCATTTAATATTAGCTATAATATTCCTCAAATCAAAGCCTCAAATCTGTTCCTGAGATGGTTCTGAAATTCAGGTGGGATAGACTCACGGTCATATTTTGGTTGCCTCGGATTTGGTTTAATTTTCCTCAGCTT